TTAAAAACTTATTTTTAACATAAAATCAATATAAGTTTTTAGGAAAAAACTAATATAATTTTTTTTTACAAATTAACTTATTTTGTAAGCTAATTTTAATTTATAAAAAAATTTGTTTGATTTTTTTTCTCCTAAAAGTATATATTAAAAAAATGATTAAAACAAACCCTAAGGGTGGCTAGCTTTTGCAGCACGTTGAGTTGCACCATATCTATTAGGAAGCAAATACTTGCTATATATGTCCAAAGCGCACACATTGAGAAAGGGGGAAGAAAACAGAGAAGTAAAAAAAAAAAAAACAAAAAAAAAAAACTTTATGTGTTCAGCTTAAGTAGCTAAATTTAGCTAGCCACTAATAATCTTTTGATTTGTTGGCATTTGGATGATTTATGTGACTGCTGGTCTGCATATATATAAACCTATTCGTTACATGTATCTTTTTGTTTTTATTGAAATAATTCTAGATATGTTACTAATAGCAGAATTGAGTATAGTTGAAAAAATAATTAAGAATGGTTTTTCTTTTTTAATTGAATTATTTAAAATTCAAATTTTGACCAAATGTGAAATAAATTTTGATAGAACTCAAAAGAAAAATACTCATTTTATACATATACATTTGCAGTTTTTGATAAAAATTAGTTAATATTTACACCTTCGACAATAAATATATCAAGATCATAATTACAAAAAAAAATGTAATTAAATTGGCATGTATCCCCAACAAGTATTTAAATCACTCTATGAATACAACTTAATTTGACATATTGTAAGTTTGATAGACTATAAATGTAAATTCGACAAGTTTGATATTATCTTAAATATAAATTTTAAAATAATCATCATAAAACTAATTTTTAATGATGTAGTATAATTTATATTTGACTGAAAGTGTAGTTTTCCTATCATTTCCTTGCATTTTAATTAGTATTTAACTTTTTTCTTGCGCGTAAAATTTTTACTAAATTAGAAAGATCTTGACTTTTCCTTAATATTCCTGAATTATTAAAGTTGTGATAAGATATGTACTCCAAATGCAATGAATTAACCACAATATATTTCATATATATTTTCATTTCTTTGTCCCTTAGTTAGCTATTAGTTAATTACCATTTTTAAATGATTCTTGGCCATGAAGTGTTTATAAACTATTCCACTTTGGTGGGAAGGCATTGCATTCTTTAAAGAAGAAAAGAAAATATCTACCATTTGGGTATTGATGGGATGGGTTATTAGTAGGGGGAAGTTACTAAATCGTTAACTTTGTAGATTCTAATCAACATGTTACTTGAAGTCTTAAGGGACCATCATTAACATGTCCTTGAATACATAAGTGAGATTCATTTGCCTCGTTTCATTATCTATGACAACCAATTGACAAGAAACACCAACCATCACCTTGAGATAATGGGATTAGACATTGTGCTAAGCTCTTCTTAATATTGCTAATAATTTCACATTTGTCATTGCCTTATTGGACATTTTACATCGCCCACGCCTCTAGCTACTGTGATGTTAACGTCCAACATCTAATTCTCTCAAATCCCACAATTTATTTTAGGAAACATCCCATGTTCCTCAACACTAATAAGCTCCACCACATAGAAGGGTCTATTCACCAAGACGTTTCCTTTAAGTTCTGCACCTCTTCTTTTTTATCCATATTTGATTTGATAAAAGAGATTATTATTATTATTTTTTAAATTATATAATTCTTTTAATGATTTTGAAAATAAATATATTAATAATTATATTTTAGGGATTTTGAACTTTTGTACTTTAGGTATATGAAGACCCATTAGGGTTATGCATATGTCTAACTTACATCTGCAATCTGGTTGTAGTACAAAACATAATTGGCAATTAAGAAAAAGAAATCGCTGGTCATATTCAATGCATCAAATCTTAAACGGATTAATTATCAGCCAGATAGACTCAATTAAAACCATAATTAGTGACGTACTGTCCATTACTTTTTGTCATAATGATGCTATATACTTACAATCTTATCAAAATTTCTTTTCCCACGTCTGGTTTTGATTTACTACAGTGAGATATGTTAGAAATGAGGGAGAATTCTCGGGTTTCTAAAGATAGAAAGGCATATCACTTTTCATGAGTATGTACGATCAAGTCAAGTTTTATGGCAAAAAATGAAGATGAGATGAGAAAAGAGGAACCAAGAGGAGAATAGCAGGCAGTCATTATTACAAAAATGACTTTAATTCGAAGGGAAAAAGCTAAACAAGAGGATTGAAGCATCTTTATTTCCTATCAAAACTAAAGTTTTTTCTTAAAAAATAAAATCGACGTTAACATTGAGTAAATAAGAGTCCCCTTTCCTTAGTGGGAAGTGATAGTCAACTTTCATCAACATTACATTACTTTGAAGATGTAGTGTTAATTTCCCATGCTCAAGGTTCAGTCTCATCAACTAATCATTTACTATGTCCGTCACCATTTCACGCTCTAGAGAAAGAATGCCACCTATCATGTACGGAACTACAATTTACTTTATTTTTACATATTTTAATTTACTCTTTTAATGAAGAAGTTAAATTTATTTATTTTAAAAATTTAGCTAATGACGTATTCAGACTAAGTTTTAAGTATATTCAATATAAGAACGAATCAAACCTTGGAGAGAAAAAATTATGCCATGCCCATATTAGTATTTTGCGAAATAGACTTGAGCTAATTGACTACAACCTCTTCTTTAATTGATAGTAATTAACGTGACAGCAGTTTTTTTTTTTTTTTTGAGCTAGTGAACTTTCTGTGGGGAGAATGAAAGCTACATCAATGAAACTAATATTAGGATTGCTAAAGTCATTATTTAATGTGCCTTTCAAATAATGTAGAAATTCACGTATACGTGTATTTTAATCACATACGTGTATTTTAATCACTCAATTCATAAAAAAAATCTCAATCACTTAATGATGGGTTATCAATCAAATTAAATTGAAATTAAAAAATAATTAGAAGCCCCCAGTGATTCCTACACTCCCGTAGGACAAAGATATCTCTGTTCTAAATTCTTTGTGTTCTTATTTTCGTCAAATCATAGGACTAAGATATCTCTTTATTAACACAATTAGAATAATTTATTAATTATTATGTTCTTTAAACTCCAGGATTATTTTTTCTTCCCAAATTTTATCCCCTCTTTCTTGATTTTAATTCGATCTCCCTCTGTTTTTATTTTATAAGCAAACTCAATTTATTGAATACCCAGATGAACATAACATAAAAGTGCACACAACTAATAGCACATTGGAATAAAAGCTTCACACGTATGGGACCGAATATGACTAAAAACAACTGTGCCTATACTAATTAGAGATTTAGAAATTTAACAAAAAGTTATCCACGAACGGCTAAAATATATAGTCTTTATACACACACAAGGACTTTTATTGACGAGAGAATTTTTAAGAATTTTTTTAACTTTTAATTTAATTTAATTTTTATTTATTATAATTATTTATAAATCATATTTAAATATTTTAAAATAAATTATTAATAAACTAGATATAAAAAAAAAGTAAGAACAACAAAGTATCCTAAAGAAGTGCATTTATCATGTATATATATATTTGTAGAATTTCGGAACACACAGTGTGGGCTTGGACTTGTAAAAGTCGTCATTATACTATTTATATTGTTTCATATCTTCGGCTACCAAGTATCAATGTTTGTAAAACCCTTAACAAACATTGTGGGCTTGGGCTTATAAAATATGTGTCTATCTACATAATCAACAAAAATAATTTATCAAAAATAAAAGCCTTTTACTATTCATGTTTACGACCCATGCGCGTACGGTGTACGCCATTTCCTCCTAAATCTTATAATTTTATATCATTTTAGACGACTTAGATGTTACACATTTTTATATTAATTTTATATTTGTTAAAGGAATATTAATTTTATACTCAATGGTTTATAAAATTGTTTTCATTGATGTGTTAAATATATTCATCTAAAATTTTACTACCTTTTCTTTTATGGGTAAAAGAAGCACTGTAATAAATATAACGATTTTGAGCTGGTACAATAAAAATTACTTTTAATAAATATTTAAATTATGTGAAATTTAACAGATTTAATTATAAAGTTAAGATTAAATTAAATTAAATTTTCTTTTTTTAAATAAAATTAAATAATTTAATTGTTGAACTGATTTGTTTTGTGTTTTTTCAAAATTTATTAACTGATGTGAGTGCAAAAGTAATTTTAAATAAATAACTATGTAAAATGTGTCAATAAAAATTCAATCATATAATTCAATTTATTTTATTAGATTGTGTTGAATATTCTTTAAAATAATGAAAATTAAATCGAACTACAAATTTTTTTAATCTTTAATCAAAATTGATTTGTAAACAACAAGAAAAATCTTTTTTATAAATCAATTTTGATAAATGATAAATAGAGAAGAAGCATGAAAGAAGAGAAGATAAGTGTTGAGAAATAAAAAATTTAGTATTGTTAATAAAAGGTGAATTGTGATAAAAATGGAGAGAGATTCACGTAGAAAAAATTTCGAGAAGTACCAAGAAATATAAAAAAAGTTAAGTGAAAGGGGACATGGATAAAAAAAATGTAAATAATAATATTATTATTAATAAGTTTTCACTTTATTTTTCCTCTATCAAACAATTTTTATTTTTATTTTATTTTTTTATATCTATTTTCCTACGCTTCTTCATATATTTTTTTTCTTTACTAACAAAAGATACGTTTAAGCATAACAAAACATAATAATTTACAATTTTTATATTTTAAAAAATAAAAAATAGTATTATATAAACTTATTATAAAAGAGATATATAACAAATGATTAATTTTAATATCACTTTTAGCAAATTATTACACTCTTCATTTATTTAAAAATGAATCAAATAGTTTTTAATATTTTATAAGTAAACAATAATTTTTATTTTATTTTTATAATTTTAAAATCTTACATGAGACGAAATGTCTTTTTTTCTATCGTAATTAAAAAAGTATTTTTAAGAATGATTTTGAAAGAACAATTTGTGTATGGAAGTTAGCGCCTAGCATAGCATTGAGCAGCGGAGAAAGGGAAGAAAATGGAGTGATTTAGTTATGAAAATGGATTCAGCGAGTGTTAGGGAATTCATAGCAAAGGAATTTGGTGATTGGGACGACGATGTGATTTACGTTGCTCGATTCAAAGCCTTTTCCGGTCAAAGATGCGATTGGGAACCGACTTTCCTCTTCTGGAAACACTTGATCATCAAAATCGCCACCCATTTTCGCATCCTCCTCATTACACCCTCCCAGGTAACTAACCAACTACGAGGCACTAGGTTTTTCCATTTCCAATTTCAATTTCAATTTCCCTCACTTTCAATTATTTGCTTTCAGGTCAAGAATGAATGGTTCAATCGAGGAGGGTTAACCCCTTTGTGTCTTGACGATGTACTGGTGAGTGTGTACGACTCACTACACCACTTTATCTTTTCTTATTCTATCCAAAACCACTTCTTTGCTTTCTGTTTGTCTTTACATATTTTCATTTTTCAGTCTCTAATGTATGATGAAGGTGACATCACCAGAACTTTGGATCTTGCTGATCCAACGCGTGGACGATTCTCCCAACTAGTACGGACACTCACTAACTTGATAACAAGGCCACCAACTCCAGATATTATGGCTGAGCAATGCGTTATCGTAATCACCATGCTTAAGGTTATCATTATCCCTTATCAGCCACCCTTTTATTTCTACACTACAGCTTTTGGTTCTTTTGCATGGTGTATCACATCTGATGTCTGTGATTGTTATGTTTGCTTCCATGCAATGCTGGTGCTAGCAAGCCAATTAAGTTATGCAGGAGTTGGATTAAGTTTTCCTTTTTTGGATTGTGCTTGATGTTTTCATTACTGTAACTCAATTATAGTTCCGTTTCTTCATATGTAGGATAAGGCTGCTGAAGTTGTCAAACATCTATCTGAAAGTCACTGGAATTCATCTTGTGTTGTCACAATGAAGAAGTTTCAGGATATATGTGGAGGGCCGGATGAAGCATCTGTAATATTGAGGTATCTGTCTGGGTCTAGAACAGCACAGTATCTGTCAGTGAATGAGAAAGAATTTGTACAGGTACAAAAACCTAAGCTATTCTTTCAATCACAAAAAAGGACATTGCCATTGTTTGATATTCTATTCTAGGCAAGTTTTTTTTCTTTAGATATAAGTTTTGGATGGCACATCGAATAACTTAGACCTTTCTGGTAGATAAAGAGAACTCATAAAAAATCTGGCTAGTTAGTACTGGGCATGATTGTTCTGTTGCTACAGGCAGGAATTATCAATGCTGATTTTTTTTATGACTGAAATACTTGTCTTATTTCAATTTTTTTTTACAGGGGGTAAAGGTTTCTCTCTCTGTAGGAGCATTATGTAGTATCTCTAATTTAGATTATGATGTACTGCACTTGATTTGGACAACTGAGAAGCTTCAGCAACAACTCGATGTGACTGACAGGCGTTATGAATTGTAAGTTTGTTTTATAAATCTTTATACTTGTATATGTATCCTGAAAGAACTTCTAAATATGAACAGTCAACAAAGTTTCAAGAGAAAATAAAAGAAAATCTTCCCCCATATGCTGAACTATTTTCCATTTCTTGTTCCAAAGTAAATAATTATATTTATCTTACTGCATGTTTGTTTTTTTATTTACTATCAGGAAAAGAACCTCTTGGTAGCAATTTGGTTAAAAGTTTTTTTTTTTTTTTTTTTAAACTCAGAATAAGCTGATCCAAATGCATATTGACAAAATAGCATAGTTGATGTGCATGATATGATAACATTCGTGTTTGATCCTCATTCATATTATGTTTTACTTTTCTATTTTTGTTGTGCGAGTGTGACCACTGTCATAGACCTTTTCTCCTCATTGGTTTTGGACCTTCTGATAGTTTGTGGGTTGTCCATTCTTAAATTGGATTAAAGGACTATATTTGGACTACAATGTAATTTGATTGGTTATCCTTCTGCATATTTATGTTCAAAGAGAAGTATGTTTTCATTTTTCAACAACAAAAAATCAAAGGTAGCAGTGATTTTCACATCATACACTATCTTCCCTTCCCAGTATCAGGGTAGGGATGTTTGCTCAAAAATGTTTAGTTGCCTCACAAATTGATTCTATTAGGTTGAGAAAATCAGCATTGGCTTCTCTACATTCTGGGAACAAAAAATTGGCCCGTAACTATGCAAGGGAGATGTTATTAGCCACCAAGAGTAGAGAAAAATGTTCATCACTTTTGAGCAGAGTAGAGGAAGTACTTGGCATTATTGCCGACGCTGAGTCAACAAAAAAGGTACGGCTTTGTAAGAAATTGACCAGTTAGCATATTCTAAAGATTGTTTTGAGCTGCTGATTGTCTTTGTTACATCTGGTGATCCGTTGTTTGTTAGCAGGTTGCTGAAGCTATGCAGATTGGAGCTCGGGCTATTAAAGAAAATAAGATCAGCGTGGAAGATGTTTATCTTTGTTTAAGAGATATTCAAGAGAGCATCGATTCACACAAGGAAGTTGAAAACACACTAGGTATATTTTGGTATATCTTTTGTGGCATGCATTTGAATTGTTCTATTGCAGTTGTTATGTTGACATCGACATGGTTTGTATGAGATATTGAACTTGAGGGGATTTCAGGATGGTAGCAATGTTGTGTCTAATATCAATAAATATGATTTGAATATTTTTTTGCAGAACAAACACCATCATACGTGGATATCGACGATGAAGATATTGAAGAGGAATTTGAGAAGTTGGAGCTGGGTGTTGAGAAAGAGGCACAAGTTCCTGCAGCGGAGAAGACGACTAGTGCAGAATTTATTAGTGATGCTTTCTCAAATCTCAAGCTTTCAGACCGTCCAGCTGTGGAGCCAGGAGTCACTCAGGTGGTGTCAGAGGGAGGCAAATTAACAAAAAAATTAGAAATGGAAGCTGTGTAAGTTTGAAAATGAAAATTATGGTTGTGGTGCTTAATTTCTGGCAATGGAGTTACTCATGGTTCGACTGTTAGTTATAACATTCTCCATTTCAGATGTACAGTTAATGTTGGCGGATAAATCTCCAATCATATGTATTTTCAAGGACTAGAATATTAGTAATTAAGATAGATTCGTAATTTGTCCTTATGCATGTCATTTAAAAAAAAAAAAAAACAATTTTATGCTTTAATGTTTTACACGTGTAAGGTCAAGTATTATTGGCATGACCGAAACCATGATGAGTAAGGACAGAGCTTATACTTGCATGGGGGGTTAATTTCCGTGCTTTAATCTTCTTACATGGATAATTAAATATTTGACTTCTATTAATTGATGCTAGGACTAATATCGTAATGAGCTGAGCTGGGCTATCTACTGAACTGGGCTTAACTCGATTTAATATAAAGGCTAAAATAATTGATAGGATAAATTTCGTGAACTAACTTAACCTAATTATTATTTTTTATTTGTTTCCATAATTTATCGACTGGATCTTTTTTTTTTTTTTTAAGTTACTAATTCACATGTAAATTAGTACTTCCATCAAACCAAATCACATGAAAATTTAATTAATTTGTATGTTAATTAAAAAATAGTTAATATCATTTAATTGTATTAATCTTAAT